TTCTGGGAATGTACCACGTCCACAGTCCTACTCTGGAAATGATGATGCATACAATGGACTCCGGACTTTGTGCGTTCCTCTAAATCTTCCTACCAATATGACCGAGTTGCGAAAACAAGGTCAAACAACTTCTATACAACGAAAGGAGACTGCGGTCCTACCATTATGACCAAGTTGCGAAAACAAGGTCAAACAACTTCTATACAACGAAAGGAGACTGCGACCTACTACCATTATGACCAAGTTGCGAAAACAAGGTCAAACAACTTCTATACAACGAAAGGAGACTGCGACCACTAACATTATGACCAAGTTGCGAAAACAAGGTCAAACAACTTCTATACAACGAAAGGAGACTGCGACCACACAATGTTCCTTTAAGTCTTCCTACTAATATGACCGAGTTGCGAAAACAAGGTCAAACAACTTCTATACAACGAAAGGAGACTGCGACCACACAAACTTCCTACCAAAATGACCAAGTTGCGAAAACAAGGTCAAACAACTTCTATACAACGAAAGGAGATTGCGACCACACAAAAGGCAACACCATCTTGATCTTCATACCTTAGATAAATTATCTACTTTAGTTTTAAGATAAAACTCATTTAACTTATTTTAGCCCTCTTCAGCTGGCGTTGTAATCGACTTTCTTCAATATTGATATGCCAACGGTTAATTTCGTTTATTTTAATTCTACAATTACTATCTTTATCCCACTATTAATTCTATTTTCTTAAATATTTTGATAGGCCACTTTCCATAAGTAATTGATAATACCTAGCTATACTAAATTATTTGTGAAAATTTGCTAGTTTGAAATTATGCATTTTCCTTATCTATCTTAATCACCTCTTACATATTAAAATCCTATTTTTAATCCTGTTGGCATACTTGCATGCCATCCTTAGAATTAGTGGGGTCATTTTACCCTCATCCACCCGAAACACCAAAAGACTAGTTCTCACATATTTTTGCTCATTTTCTCCTTGAAGATGAGTTGGCCCGCCTCCGTGAAGAACTGCAACAGGAAGCCTCACGAGCAGCAACCTCCAGGGATCAGTCTTCAGTCAATCTAGCTAAAACGGAGCGCGAACTTAAATCCGCTCTGCAGCAAACCAAAGAGGCTGCCGAAATTGAGGCAAATATCTTACGCACTCAGCTGACTGAAGCGCGTCAGCAGGCCGACGTCATGATGGAGACTCGTCTACGTGAGCACAAAATAGCCATGGAAGAGGCACTGCAAGTGGCCGAACGGCAAAGAGAAGCATTGACTGCAGAGGTAAGCGAACTTAACATATTAAGTGTATTCATCTTATTTTGTTTTAGGTGACTTGTAGTCGTAGATTGCTCTAGCAAATATAAGTTTGCTTCATCGACAATCCCAACATAGAATGTGATATGGATAATGCCGGACATTCCTTGAGATTCATATCTTCCCTATGATCCAAGGGCACTCATGGCAATGTGGCGTAGTGGTTAACGTGTCGAAATTGCACGCTGAATTGTCATGGTTGGACTACCGCTTGGAGTATTGATAAAACCTATGTGAGGTCGAAACTATGGTCCAGTCTAGATGAAAACACCTTTTGAGAAAGCAAGGCTATGTGAAATGTAATGGAAACGTCAGCCATACTTATATTATTGTGTAAAATATCACCTGCCAGTCTTTCATCACCTTAAACGAAATAGGATGAATACAGCTTGCAAAGATATGTAAAATTTAATTCTGGCATCCCTCCTCTCGCTAATTATTTGTTCTACGTTCTAGTGCAGCATCCCTTTCTCTCGAACACACTTTTATGGCCCATATACTTATTCACAAAATTCTGCACTAAAAGTTAAAACAAAAAATAGGGGCGAGGATTGATGCCACAACGTTTGAACATAAAATTGGTCAAAGAGATTGCCTTCACTTGTCGATTTGATAAGTTGTAACTTGTAGCGACACCCTGTTAATGGTCCAATTGTGCAAATAGCGAATACAATGGAGGAGGACACGGGACTATGCACATTCAACAAGTTCTCCCTGATGCTCCGACCAAGTTTCGAAAACAAGGTTGAACCAACATTAAAGGAGACTTCGACCAAACAGAAGGCCACCATCTTAATTTTCATATATACTTCCTTAAGTTTGTATAAAATTATGCTACCATGGCTGGTAGTGACTGTGGATTATCGCCATCAGAAAATAGGAAAATTATGTTATCAGTAACGATTTTCTTCTGAAATATGCCGGAAAACTAATGTGTTAGTTTGATCACAATCTGGCTAAGTACAGCATTTTATATTGAGAAATGCTATCTTATAGATTTGGGGATCAGGAATTTTGATTGCATGAATCAAACATCTTTCTAATTTCAAATACTATCTTATTCACGACCTTTTGATTAGACTAAACTCATCCTTAAAGCAGCTTTCCTAGCAATAGTTAAGCTACTGGCTTCTAGGTTTAGAATACAGTGAGTGAATGATGAAAGAACAGTTAGCAGAAAGATATTTCAGATGATCTTTAGTACTATGTTTCGCTTAATAGTGCACATAACTTATTAGATATAAAATTTTAGTATCTATATAAGCATATTATTCATAATATTCATAAGTGCCCTTGCTACTGCCTATCATATATTTTTTGAAACCGTTGGTTCTGCACCACATGTTAATTTTATTGATGGCTTTCATTATAATTGGTATGAAGAAAATAAAAAATATTAATTTTTTTATTCCTCCAATAAATTCTCCTATAAATTCTCCTAAATTGAATGTCTAGCTAAAACCCATATCCTTTTGTAATAGAAAGCCATAGACATCTTACTTAGAGTCTTTTATCTTGTGTTAGGACGCCTGATATTGCTAAAGGCGAATTTGTTCAAACAAAGATCATATTTGAAGAAAAACTAGGTTTAGAAGAATTCCTTATTGACATATTGTGACATGACTTTCCATTTCGAAGGAAAATTGGAAAGAAGGGATTCGTGATATGGTCTCACCGGAAACCGAAGGAGGAATGCTACGTAGGGAGGACTGTTGTATTGTCTGCAGAAGTCCTCTGCCCACTGTCCTGCGACCCCGATAAAACTGTGCTAAGCTTTCGTTTGTACTGTGACATATCATCAGAGCAGGAGTCCGTACTTCACTCACTAGATCAAAAATATATAAACCAAGAGAAAAGGCGGCCGATTGCAGCCCTATTCACTTTTTTTATTGGCACCTAACCTCGCGATCTTAACGAGGCATCTCATTATTTTGTTGGCTACTTCAACTTTACTATATATGCTTGCAGATGAGTGGAGTTACTTCCCGAATCGTAATTGCGTTCCGTAGCAGCTGTTTCCTTACACAAATAAATAGTGTACGATCCTCTAATCCTGAATCATATTTTGTCTAGTGCCTTTGTCTATTGTGTGTATCTAATGTTCATATCATGGAAAGTGTGATAGTCCTAGCTAAACTCGAGGCTACTCCAGTCTCCTTCTCTTGTTCAGTGGCTCC